AAACCCCCCCCCCCCCCCCCCCCAGAAACTAGTTTCCTCCTTTAAACCCCCCCCCCCCAGAAACTAGTTTCCTCCTTTAACCCCCCCCCCCCCCAGAAACTGAGATTCCCCCTTTAGAAACTAGTTTTCCTCCTTTAAACCCCCCCCCCCCCCCCCCAGAAACTAGTTTCCTCCTTTAAACCCCCCCCCCCCCAGAAACTAGTTTCCTCCTTTAAACCCCCTCTCCCCGCCCAAGAAACTAGTTTCCTCCTTTAAACCCCCCCCCCCCCCCAAAAACCCCCCCCCCCCCACCAAAAACTAGTTTCCTCCTTTAAACCCCCCCCCCCCCCCCCCCCCCCCCCCCCCAAAAAAAAAAAAAAAACTAGTCTCCTCCCAGAGAAAATTTAGCACAATCTTCCCTCCAGATTGCATGGCACTTTATTGGGGTGGCAATATTTGCTTACCTTTTCACTGAGCAACTGCAAAATATGGGATGGGCTAACCTGAATGGTTGTTGTAGACTGACTGTTCTTCTTATTTGCATTAAATATTGTAATAAAATAAAAATGGTAATGAATTTGTTTTCTCGGTGTGATGTATTCTCCAGTGTCTGTATGTGTGGTCCTCAATCTTTCCACTGCTGGTGCCCTCGTGTTGTGGTGATCCCCAGCCAAACAAATTATTTTGTTGCTACTTCACAACTTTAGTGAATTTGTGTTTTCTGATGATCTTAGGCAACCCCTGGGAAAGGGTAAGGTTGCTCAACCCCCAAAGAAGAAGTTACCCACAGGTTGATAACCGCTGCTTTAATATATATGTATACCCACTTGTATTCTGTCTCTGTGCGTATGTACAATTATTGTGTGTATATTTAAAAAAAATCTTACTAAATTCCCTGCACAAATACAAGAGAAAAGCTTTGACAACCTACTCTTCACATTCCCTGCATCCCCATGTGGGTTCCAGGGCCCTATTATGGGGGGGGGGGGGGGGGGAGAAGAATAGATCAACTGCCTACCCACAAGCAATTTCATAAGAGTCAACTATTAGGAGCTTACTTCAAAGTCAGAGTGCATATGCCCAAGAGGCTAGGGACCAGCAGTCTGCATACAAATGAGTCAGATCTGTAAAATGGATGCACAGGCAACACTCAAGTTCTGGAACATGACTGCAGTCCAGAAGTGGATGAACAACCATAACTTTCTGCCAGAGTTTACAGTTGGTGAACGCGGAGAAGAAAATATGCTGCACATTCCAATACTAGAGAAAACTTATTGCTTTACCCAATCCCTATAAATTCTAGTAGAGAGGAAATCTTACAGCCAATACTGCAAACAACACAGGTGTGGTTTCTGTGGCCCTATTATGGGGGGAAATGTAACTTTTTGATAAGCATCTGAAACAGCGACTAACTGAGGGTTTGTTACTGGATCCTTTTAAGGATGAATACAAATGCCATAGACAGCCTAACACACTGTTCTCATAAAATTCCCTGCACATTCCAGTGCCAGGGGAAAATCTACTACAGAC